TGTCCCCGCTGGCCCAGCGCAGCGGCTGGGGGCAGCTGACCTTCCAAGCCAGCTCCATCTGGGCTGAGGGCCAGGGACCCCAGAGGCCTGAGCTCAGGGTGTTCCCGGCCCCCACCGGGCTGGAGGCTGTGCAGGCCTGGGGGGGTGCTGCTGTGGGGCAGCTGGGCTGCAGACATAGGAGGCCTTGAGTCTCAGGGCACGCGCTCACAGCACCTGTGTGTACTTAGGACACGTGTGCTCACTCACGGCATGCACATGTACTCAGCCTGTGAGCTCACAGCACACGTACTTGTGACACACATGTATTCTCAGGACACACACTCACGGCACACATGCTTGTGACACACATGTATACTCAGGACACACACTCGCGGCACACACACTTGTGGCACGCATGTATACTCAGGACACACGTGCTTATGGCGCACACACTTATGACACACATGCTCACATGCTTACGGCATATGTGTGCACACCCAGCTGGCCGTCTATCAGTCCCTGTGCAGGCACTGTGAGGCAGGTCCCCACAGGTGTAGCTGTCCCCAGAGGTGACACCCCAGTTTCCCTGGCCCTTTGCCTTTCACCTGAGGGCCCAGGACGAGAGTCCGAGGTGCCCGCTGTCCGCTGAGATGGCCTCCGGCGCTCGTGGGACCAGGGTCCAGGTGGCGAGGGGTGCTGGGCCCAGATCCTCGGCGTGGCCTGAGGACATGATGGCCTCCGTGCGTAGACCCCTCCCAGACAGGCCGACAGTGGCTGGCCGGGGCTGAGGGCTGAGTGCCCAGGCCCGCCTCTGCAGGGAGGAGGGCAGCCTGCAGCCACGCCTGCCGCCTTCACCCCGCTTCCCTGCCCAGCCCAGGCTGGCTCCAGGCTCCGCTAGGTCAGGTGCCCACACAGGCTGGGTGGGTTGGGGAGGCGTAAACACAGTGTCTGTGGCCCTCGGCCTTGGAGGAGGGGGCAATGAGGCTGGGGTTGCTGCCGGGCCTGCTGTCGGGGCAGGTGCTGGTTTGGGCCCTGGGTGTGTGGTCCCAGCCCCAGGAACTGTTCCCCAAGGAGTCCCACACCCTCAACTGGAACAAGGTGAGCCAGCGTGGGTCAGGGAGCCCCGCAGCCCCCAGCAGACAGCCCTCCAGGCCCAAGCCACAGCACCAGAAGGAGGCCAGTGGGGGGGGCTCCCCCACCTATCCCACCACGGCCCCAGAACTGACTGAGGACTCTGTGGGGCCCAAGGGCTGGATGGGGCAGGGAAGGCTGCTGTGGCCAAGGGCACTGAGAGTGCCAGGGGGCAGGTTCTGGAGCGAGAGGAGCTGGCCGGCTGGGCACAAGGTGTCAGGCAGGTGGCCTAGGCATGGGCCGATGGTGGGGTGCAGGGTAGTGTCTGGAATGAGGGGTCTGCAGCAGGGTGGCCAGTGGGCTGCCCGGGGTGGCAGGCTCCCAGCCTGCCCCCCGGCTAAGCAGAGCAGGGTCTCCCAGCCAGGGGGCAGCTTTACCAGTGGGCTACTGTCCAGCCCTGTGCTGGGCTCTGACCTCCTGGCCAGGTGAGGCAGATGCAGGGGGCTGGGTCCTGGGGACCATCACCCGTGCGGCCAGCTCTCTGGCTGGGACTGGGGTGGGCATCATCAGGTGGCAACCCCCCGGCAGTTCTCAGGGTTCTGGTACATCGTGGCAGTGGCCACCGACGCTCCAGGGTTCTTGCCCGCCAGACATAAAAGGAAGCTGGGGGCCTCCGTAGTGACGGTGCGCAGGAAGGGCCAGCTGCAGGTGGTCATGGCATTCAACCGGTGAGTGGCCAGTGGAGGCGGGAGGCTCCCAGGCCCCACTGCGGTGGTAAGGGGCATCTCCCCTCCTAGGAGGGAGGAGCTGGTAGCTGGGAGGGGCTGGTGGGGGGAGTCAGCCTGATGGTCAGTCTGGACTCTCCACGAGGACAGGCCCCCATCATGTCCCAACTTCCATGGCGGGTGTTGGTACGGGTGGGTGTTTGGGCTGTTCCCCAGATGGACACGGGAGTGGCGGGGTGGCCCTGGCCTGTCTTCAGCCCCGTCACCCCCAGGTCTCAGGGGTGCCAGTCCCAGGAGGTGACCCTACGGAAGGACAATAAGAAGGCCGTGTTCAGGAACCCCTGTACGTATGACACGGGCCAGGGGACAGCCCTCAGGCCTCCCAGCTGCTGAGGAGCCAAGGAGGACAGGCAGCAGGTGGCAGGGGTGCCGAGGCGGGCGGCGGGCCAGCTGGGAGGTCATCCCGGGGGCCTTCCTCCACGCAGGGCCATGGCCACTCTGGGCTTCCCTCGCAGTGCGTGGTGTGAAGGCCTTCCACGTGCTATCCACTGACTACCGCTCCGGCCTGGTCTACCTGCGCCTGGGGCGGGCGGGCCGTGACTACAAGAACCTGATGCTCTTCAGTGCGTGCCCTGGTGGGCAGGGCGGGCAAAGCGTGACCACGGGGGGTGAGAGGTGGGGGGGAGTCAGGGGGTTGGAGCCCTTGGACTGAGAGACCCCCCCAGGAGGGAGGCAGCACTGAGGAGGGGTGCAGGCCCCAGCGTCCTCTGAGAAAGGGCCAGCTGGATGCGGCAGACAGGGTTGGGGCACCAGGCAGGGGTGTGTGCCCCGGGAGGGAAGGTGTGTGTGGAGGGGTCAGGTGGGATGAGGCCCCTTTTTGGCACTGGGCCTTCAGGGTTTGGGGAGTAGCAGGTATTGGAGAAGGCAGGGAGGGGTCCCAGTCTTGGTCCAGCCCAGAGACCTGCCTGAGGGCAGTGTGTCACCCGCCTCTCACTGCCCCTCAGCCCAGCTCGCCCATGGTGAGGGGCTGGGTGGGCCGGGGTCCCTGACGCCATGGCCGCTGCTGCAGGCAGACAGAACGTGTCGAGCGTCCAGAGCCTGTGGTCGCTGAGAGACGCGAGCGAGATGCTGGGGCTAGCCCAGGGCGTGGCCTTCCTCCCCAAGGATGGTGAGAGGGTCCTGGGGCTGCCGGCCCACCCCAGCCAACTGGCTTCTCCCACCTGCCTCCTGCCCCCCCAGACCCCTCCGGCCTGCACCCTCAGCTGTGCCTCCTGGCCTGCACCTCAGCTGCACCTCCCAGCCTGCACCCTCAGCCTCCCGGCATGCACCCTCAGCTTCCCAGTCTGCATGC